AGGTATTATGCAATATTTATATTACATTTATAATTCCTTTAAGTTATCTTACCATAAATATTTAGACTAATTATATATTCACTTTTAATTTTTTTAGGGTCATGTTCTGTAAAATCATTACAAATTGAAGTTGGAGCCTTGGAGATTCATATTTTTGAAATTTAGTAATTTATGTCATTAAGCTTTAAGTTGTGGAACTCTTGTTTGTTTATTTATTATATGAAGACTAATGCTAATTTCTTTGTGATCATATTTAATTATAGAACTTTTGAAACTAATGTTTACTTATTATATAACTATTTGAATTAATAAAAAAGACCCATGTTAAATGAAAAAAAATCAAATTATTTAACAAAAAAATTAATTTGAAATTAATGCCATTGTATCTTTAACCATTTTAGTCCATGGATCTTTAACTATTTTAACCCATTGAAATTAATGTTGCCCATGAATCTTTAACCATTTTAGCCCATAGATCACAGTCCAAGTCAACCCATTTTAGCCCAAGTCAATATAAGTCAACTCATAGATCTCACCCTCAAAAACTGACCGAACCGACTGAAATTGAGTCTCTAAAAAACCTACCGAAACCGACATTGCATCATATGCGGTTCGGTCGGTTATATTGAAAAAAATTTTCATCGGTTTTTGGTCAAAATCGAACTGAAACCGACAAAACCGACCGCCGCACACCCCTAGTTTTCATATAAGTAGACAGCTTAAATGGGATTGGTGTGAAGGCCTTTCTTAATTCTCCTTTGTTCTTTATTCAACCTGATTTATTGGAATATATCAGCTTCTAAATGATACAATTATATCATAGTCACATCTGGGATGATGCCCATATACGTTCTAAATTCTCAGTAAAATCTTTCTTTCTGCCGAGGATTATGGTGACATGATCAGCATTCTGAATAATGTTAAGTTCTACATCTGGGAACTTCATCTTGATATTGACGCTGCGGTCCAATGGGACAACCGCGTCCTGATCACCATGGATGAGACAAACCTTTACTCTTGATCTATACAAGATTTCCAGATAGTCATGCATGTACTTTGCTCCTCCACATATGACATTATGCATGCTATGCCAAGCAGAATGATGGGTATGCCTAGTGAAGTCTACTGCCATGAAGTCGAGTTCTCTGGAAAGGTAAAATTAATGAAACAGAAGCTTGTCATTGATGCCCCCAACAGTGCAAAAACATGCAGTTATCATAATTGTTGTGCTGAATGTACATATCCATATGTGTGTGTGCCTGCGTACATTTCTATATAATTGTGAGTGTATTGATCAATAAAGAGTAATTCATTTGTTACCTTCTTTGAGTCAATAGCTTCAGAATCCTCTCCCACACCCTATGGTTCCGGCAACAGAGGAAGCAAAAACATCTGCCCACATGCTCATACCATGACATAACCGATTGAACAAATGCCAGTGGTGGCCACAATCTTTTCCCAGCAAGTGTTTCAAGCACCATTAAAGTACTTGTTCCATCTTTTGCAGAGGGGAAGTAAGGCTAGATGTAGAATGCACAGAACATGTTCAATGTGAGATAAATGGAAACAGATGAAACAGAGAGAATTAAGAAAAGGGAGGTTCAAGTGACTTCAATTAAATCCAAACATAGTGGAAAAAAACACACTGGTTGATTGAATAATCAATGGAAGTTATATTAGTCGAATACTCAATACCACTTGGCTATTGTCTTTGTTCTGCTATAGGCAATTAACATGTTTCAGAAACATTTTTTGACATTGGTTTTGGGTGTTGTAGAAAATTTTTCAGTGGAAAAGGCTGATTATTAACTTCTGCTGAATAATTAAATGCTAATGTCATCCACTCACAGGTGCAACAAGAGTGACTGATTTGACAAACTTTGAGTACTTTGCAGCTAAGGCCACAGCAACTATGCAACCCATGGAATGTGCTACCAAATGGAAAGAATTCAACTGATATGGAGAGATTACAGACTTCTCTATCATTTCCACATGATCATTCAAAGCATACATACTGTCACTTGGCTTTGGACTTCTTCCAAATCCCAAAAGGTCAACAGCAAAAAGTCTGTAGTGACCCTTTACCGGTCCAGATAGATTCTTAAAAACTGTATCTGTCCATAACGAGGAAGAAGAAAGGAACCCATGTAAAAATATCACATTTTCAGCTGACTCTCCTCTTGAATCATCACTTTCCACTGTCAAACGAAAAGACTGGCATCAAAATTAATGATTAAAAAAAAAAACCACATGCATTGCCCAAGAATTACCTTGTGGCTGCTCTTTCACAACAACATGAAGCTTCTGACAATCATTCTTCATCCAAGAAACACAAGACTCACATCCACAATCAGACCACCTATTCACCAACCTTCCTCCACCACCAAAACCATCACTTTTCTTTCTATATTCCCATTGTCTTCGAAAACCAAGAAACCCCATTTCCCTGAATACATTTTTCCTCCCATACAAAGTCTCTGACAAATCCCTCTCTCCATCACCACAATCTCCATTTTGCTCTCCCTTGTTTACACAATAACATGGAGAGGCTTCACCTTCAAAGAACTCATCAAGAAACCTGCATACCACACAAAGAATAGCATCAAGAAGGTCGAGGAAAAGAAAGACAAAAAAAGTGATGGCATCAAGCAGGATTGTGCCACATTTCCTTGTCCCTTTTCCGAGTAAATTTGCAATCGACATGGATGGAAAAAATAACTTAAATGAAGGAAAGTGGTAAGACAGGTGGACAAGTGAAAAAACTGTGTGGAGTTCGAGGGTTGGACAGGAAGAACATATATAAAAGTTGAAAGACAAGAAGTGAAAATGGTTTCGGACAACGCGAAGATAAGCGATGAATGTTGGAGCCACGTCCTGGCTATGAAGAATAGAATATGGAGTCGAAAGAGTTTCCAGAATCTTGGGAAAATTCATCCTTTTATACTGTTGGAAATGGAAGTCGTATAAATATATATATATATATATATATTATTTCTAATAATACTCCATATTGTTTATAAATATATATAGATTTATGTTTTATATATATTTTGTCCATCGATTTTAGAAATAATTAAATCATTAAACGGCACCATGAAACTTGTGGGACAGTTTTTAAGTGAAGATAACAATTTAATAGATCTTGTTCGCTAAATGAATTGATTTATATGTATAAAAAATTTGCATAACTTTATCTAGTTTAAATATTTTATTTTATCTTAAAATAATTATGTTTTAAATTTTATATTGTATTCTATTTGCTCCATGCTTTACATCATTTAGATTTATATATGATAATAATTAAAGTATTTTCGAATGTTGTTTGGATCTAATTTTCTTCTTATGCAATTTTAAAAATATTCACTTTTTCATTGGTTTAATATATTTAAGATTTTATTCCCGAGTGTTTCATATAAAGATTGAACATAAGAATTACCAATTTTTTAGATTTGATTTTTTTAATAAAAAAATTAATAAGTAACGTGGGTATATATTATATCTCAATATGCCTAATCAATTTTTTTTTTTTAATTTTATACTGCATTCAATTCAATTTAAGATTTTGTATTTTAAATAAATGAAATAAAATCTCCATAAAGATCCATGCTTCGTCTGTTGGCATTTGAAAATAGGGTAAAGAGCTGTATTTGTCTGGTTTTGGAAAAATATCTAAGTCATTTACCATTTTTTTTAAGTTATAAATCTCAAGTTTTTAATAAATAATAAATGCCCAAATAGTTAAATGTCTAAATTTTAATGTGGGACGTATTTAGAAACAGAAATCGAAATGCAGCCCTGACTCCACTATGGACCTCGTAAAATGCCACCACCATTTTAAGGTACAATACTGTGAAGACAGCAGAATCTGACCCCTAATGTTAGGCTTTCCTGTTTTGCTTGCTCTGTATTGTAACCATGTATATTATGTCCAGGGAAGTATTTTATAGGAGTAGTTTTGTTTAATGTACAAAGCAACCCTCACCACACTAATTGCCCTAGAATTTGGGCTGGATGCAAATTTTAGTTGTAAGTCCTAGGATAAAAGATTTGTTTATTTTAGTCAGTGAATCTATCGTAGAGACAAGTTTAGCTTTCATTTATTTAACCTTGAGAAATGGCTTCTCGGGGATATTGGGATGGCTGACTCCTTGTGAATTTAATTGGACTTGTAACATGCATGAGTGCGAATTACTTAAACTGTTGAAAGATGATGGAGTTCCATTGATTTCTATAGTATTCTGTTTATAAGTGTTCATCATGTTTCTGCTGCAAGGGGCCAATGGACAACTATGGTGCTACTGTCATGTGTTGTCGCTTGTTGATCAATAGATTCATTTGCACAATGCTACCACTCGCATTTCAAGTAAAATAGAACATGGATTTAGAACCAAAACACATAGCAACTTTAGTGCAGTCAACAAGTCAAATACTTCCCCCTCTCTCTCACTTGGATTGAAATTTCAGATGAATATATAGCTATGTTTGAATTGGGTAGAAGTCTACAACTTTTTATAATAGATGAGAATAGGGAGGAAACCTTTATTTCCACAAAGAAAACTTCCTTAAAATTTTCAAAGTAAAAATAATTATGGAACCTTGTTGAAAGTGTTGGGATAATCTAAAAATTATTTTTATAAGAAGGTTTATTTCTAATTCTTAAAACATAAAAGATATAATAATTAAATATTTTCAAAATTAGAAACAATACCATGATATTATTGTGCTTGCATCAGAGACATTTAATTTGAATTTAAAAAAAATATATTAAAAACCTCCAATGATATGGAATTTAAAGAAAGTTATGAGTGATAGTTTCTTGAAAATTTTTAAGTGAAGAAATTTTCTAATACTCTGCCAAAAGTATGGGAGAATTTAGAAAAATTTTTAATATAAAGGGTTTGCATTAAAAAAATAAAAAATAAAATAAGAAATAAAAATTAAGAGAAACAAAATTAAATATTAAATTTAAATTTATTAACCTTAAAAATAATATAACACATTATTAATTGGTACTATTTTTGGAATGGACGTCATGGGTGCTAATACCTTCCCCACACGTTTGTCTATACTTTTTCATGAAACTAATTCTAGTATAAAACTTTATTAAAAAAGGTCATTCAATTAAATGGTCAATTACATCTAAACAGAAACAATTGATGGCAACTCCTATTAATTAGATTTTCAGACTCACCTTATGAAAGATGTTAAAGCCTTCTTAATTCTACTTTGTTCTTCATTCAACCAGATTTATTGGTCTCATTTTTCCTTTTATAGAAGTTACTAGGTTGATTTTCTGTTATGTTTGAATTTGGTAGAAGTCTACAACCTTTATGATAGATAAGAATAGAAAGGAAAACTTTGTTTCCATGAAGAAAGTTTCCTTAATTTTACTGCATTACTCCAGCATTATTCAGCAAAAACATTTTCAAAAAACCAAGTTGCAACTTGATACATATAAACGTTTGCAGGTTCAGTCCAGAAGTATATATTGGTGAGAAAGTTCATTCAAGCATAACTTGCTGTGGATACAAGCACATTGCATAGAACCGAGTTCATGAAATGGTCAGCGGTGGTTTGAAATGGTTAGAAGCATTTCATCTGCACAACATGTTCCAAGGGTAAACAAACACCAGCAAAGATCTGATTTCGAATGTGTTCTTGCAATTGTGGAGCTATGCTGGCAAGCAGGGCTGATCGAAATGACGAAAATTTGAACTCTGGTTCATTAATTGCGGATGAATTTTTGGTGGTTTCAGAGGGATTGAGTCGTCATCACATGATGGTTTAAGTGCCATAGCAAATGGCACCTTGAGGACATGGGAGACACTTAGATCTGGCGTTCAGAAGCTGCTATTGGGTATCCAGCAAAGGTTTGTAAATATTGTTCTGTCCGAAGCCCTTGTAGACCATAAGTGGGCAAGATTCTCATCTCACATGGTTACAAGTTTTCATGTAAATCTTCAATTGCTTCTTTATTATTATTATTTACATTAACGAATTTTGTCAAATTATCACTAGAGTCGGACATAAATACATTAATATCAACCTGAAATGAATTGTATGTGTATCTGTTCGTTTTGGTTATTGATATTTCATTTCCGGGTTCATTTGCCCTTTTTTTCAGCCACCATACATCAATGCAATCCGTCTCCACTTGCATGTAAATATTGATAATACTAGGGTGCCTGTTCGCCTTATAAAGCTTCAATTTTCAGCAGTTTTTAGGCATTTGCAATCTCTCTTTCATTGTTTTTATAGCTCACATGACTCTATCTTTCGTTCTTTTGTTCTTATTTCATAGCAACTTGGATTCAGGTCAGTTGATGGATGGGTTGGGTAGGCCGGGTGGGGTTTGCGAGCTCCACGTACATGTTGATAATAGCCTCGACGTGGAGCATTGAAGTAATGTGCAATTTCTGAACTATTTCTTTCTCTCTTTTACGAGCAACAGATCAAATTCATCTTTGATCTATTGAACACATTAATTATTATGTTTGACATATATATGGTTTTTGGGAACTTACATCAACTATATTCCCATCAAATTCATTGTACAACCATTGAAAACTAGTCAGGCTTGAGGCTTGAGTTTACATTCTTGCTTCTGGGAAAATCTAGTTTTTTCCTTTTTCCCCTGAATTTCAAACTGGATGATTATGTTGATCAGATGCAGCATTTTCCCAAATCCGCACCAAATTCTGAGCAAAATCTTTCTCTCTTGTGAAGATCACAGAGCGGTGGCCAGCATTTGCAATGTTGTTAACCTCCACATCAGGGAATTTCTTCTTAATGTCGTTGCCACACTCTGGTGGAACAGATTTGTCCCTGTTCCCAAGAATTACATGGACTTTTGTTCTTGATTGCATCAAGGTTTCCAGGTTTTTGTCCATGAGTTTTACTCCCCTAAACAGCACATTGTGCATGGTATGCCAGCCTGAATGATGGGTGTGCTTTGTCAAGTCTAAAAGCATGAAATCCAGATTCCTGAAAGGCAATAAAGAGAAAATGCCAGAATTAGAGCATCTGATTAACGGGTCAAAACTCATCATGATCAACCTATACATTAATAACTAACTTCTGAGTTATTACCTTAATCCAGTGAATCGCTTAATAAGTCTCTCCCAGGTCCTATGGTTTCGGCACATTAATAAACAGACACATCGACCCAAGTGTTCATACCAAGCCATGATGGATGACAGAAACGCTTGTGGCGGCCACAGTTTTTTGGATGTAACGCAATTCATCACGGTGAATTCCACTCCATCCTTTGAAGGAAAGTAAGGCTGAAACAGAACCCAAATCAGAACCAAAATATATATATTCGTTATAGATTAATTTTGTTATAATTATTCTTATGTATATCATTTGTGTACTCACAGGGGCTACAAGGGAAATGGATTTGACAGATTTGGAGTGCTTTGCAGCTAAGGCTAATGCAATTATACAGCCCATGGAGTGAGCAACCACGTGGAAAGAATCGAATTGAAATGGAGAGATTACAGATTTCTCAATCCATTCCACATGGTCTTTCATGGTGTATAGACAGTCCCTTGGCTTTGGACTTTTCCCAAATCCCAGCAGATCAACCGCAAACAAGCTGTACTTGCTGTTCGTTGATTCGGATAGCTTTGGGAAAACCGTTTTTGTCCAAAACGAGGAAGAACTGAGAATGCCATGTATGAATATCACCTTCTCCGATGGGTTTCCCTCGGAATCCTTTCGAATGCCTGTCAAAGACAAAAGGATTGATGTCAAAATTAATAATTTATTTTTTCAAATAATCGTCATATTTAGATATATATTTCGAAAATTAGTCTTTCAAAACAAAAAATAGTTCGAGAAAATAAAACATGAAAAGTCAGAAGGCAATGTAAAACTTTAATACATTAATAAAATATACAATTTACGTCATTAAACAAGAAATATTTTAAAAAGAAAAAAATAAGAAGAAAGATTGAATCCAACAACTACCCGTTTGGTTGAATTAGAGTATATATTATGGTATTTTAAAATATATTTTGGTTCGTAAGATAGATACTTAATTAGTTAATAGTTAAGATGAAAGTTTATGTTGCTCAAGCAATATTTGGCGTTTATTAATAAAAACAAAATACAGCATAACAGTTCAGATTATCATATGCTTAATTAAAAATTAAAAAATAATTAAAGTATTAATTATAATAAATCGATACAAATCAATTGCCAGATTATTGGCTTTGATTTGGTTGCATCATATTTGTTAGAAGGAAAATTCTTGTATAATATAAAACTGTATAACTTAGAAATCTAAATTATGTATTGACCAATCTTAATTATGTGTCTTCATTAATTCTAATCTTGTTCATAGTTTAACTCTAATTGACTAACATTATTACAGTACAACCCTTAACTAGATCATGTAGTCTAAACAGATAATCATATTGTATAATAATTCTAATTAAATACGTTATATATTTATTTTAATAATATTAAAGAATATATTCCAAAACAAATAAGGAAAGATTCTCAATCCAATCATGTGACAATGATAATACATATAACCTAATTTAAATAAAAAAAAAATGATCCTCAACCTGAAGCATGCAATTACCTTGTGAAGAAGTCTCCCCCACCACGAAATAAAGCTTGTGATCATCTGTTTTCATCCAGGAGATGCAAGAATCACATCCACAATCAGACCACCTATGTCCCAAACTATAGGCAGCAGCCTTCTTTTGGTTCCTGAAACTATACCCAGATTTAACACCTTTCTTTTGGTTCAACAATTTTTCCACAAATTGAAGCAAAGAAATTAATTCCTTCAATTTCTTTTTCCTCCCATGCAAAGTCTCTGACATCCCAATTTCCTCATTATAAGCACCTTTCCCATTGCTCCCATTCATCTCACTCTTCTTGGTTACGCAGTAACATGGCGTGGCCTTCCCTTCAAAGAACTCATCAAGATATTTGTATATGACACAGAAAACTGAGTCAAGAAAGTCGAGATATGAAAACACAACAAAATTTGGGGCAGAGAGGAGGTTTTTGGTGCACTTTCTTGTCCAATTTCTTAGGAAAGTCGAAGTAGACATGGAAAGGAAGCGGTGAGTTTGTGAAAACTCGAGGCTGAGAAGCCTAAGAACATTAAGACTTTAGCTGGAGATGAAGGACTTTTATGAGTGTATAAATAAGTGATAATTAAAAGGGCAAGATGGAAGAGAATGTGAATAAACAATTTAGGTGTATATTTAAAAGAAAAAAAAAACATTAACAAGATTGATAATGATTTGCAATTTGGAATTAAAAAATAAATTAATCAAGACTATATACATGCATGTATTTTCTTATTTAAATATTTAGATTTAAATTTTTTTCTCAATAAAAAAAATTCGCATATGACTCATACATGATTTGCAAAGATCCATTAATGCCTCAGTCAATCCAATATACAAATTTTGGGCTTCGATATTCTTCTATAATATTGCACGTTGAAGAGTGAGATGTTTGATGTGGCACAACCAATGCAACTACAAGAGAAACAAAAATTTGATGTGGCAATAGCTAGGGAGCAAAAAACCAAATAAGTAAATTCATGTGTTTACATGTTGCTAAGGTAATGGGCACAATTCACATTTTCAATTCAAAAAATATGTCTAAATATTTATATACTTAAAAATCATTATATCTTTTACTACATTCTATCTCACTTAATTGTACAATGTTCTCGTTGCATTGTCTCTTAACTCATATAAAAAAAAGACTCCTCTACTACTCTGGGTCTACCTTAACCCTTATGTCTCTCATGAGAATTCCACACAGTGAATATCTAGATTTGTTCTAATACCACTTGTCACGGACTTACATTTTCAATCCAAAAATTATATCTGATAGGTAGTGGAAGGCTCATGTTGATATATCTAAAACTCATTTTATCTCTTCTTGAAGTAAAATCCGTGATATTCATTTCTATGAATACAACTCTTTTTGATATAAAGTTTAAGACCTTGATGAATTATGCTATCTAGATTTAAAAGTGGAAAGATGAAAACAATAACATGATGGGTATATAATGCAAAATTTAAAGATAAAAGATTTAGTATCTCATCTTCAAACTAGTCAAATTAGTAGTATTGTTGGATTTTTTGGTATTTTTATAATATTTGTACAAAGTCATAGCCTTTCAATCTGATAAAGGTAATTGGACATAGGAGCTAATTAGAAATTATAATTAGGCTTTAAATAGACTTGTGCATACGATACAATAACAAGATAATACAACACACTGTTAAGCGGTTTGGTCACAATAATTGTATTTCATGTTTTTAATCATGTTTTAATTTATTTAATCTATACAAGACGTATTAAGTTAATTATGTTATTATGCATATATATAATACGTGATCTGTTTATAATCCGTTTTATTAATTGTGTAAACATATATACCTGATGACACATTTATAACCTGAATATGACTCGTTTAGACCCTTTTATAT